TGGTAACATCCATTGTTTCATGTTCTCTGTGTATATAAATTTCCCCACTGTATTTTCCACTGAATGCATCCGATGAAGTGAGTTGTAGCTCATGAAAGCTTATGCTCAAACAAATTTGTTAGTCTCTAAGGTGCCACAAGTACTCCTTTTCTTTTTGCGAATACAGACTAACACGGCTGCTACTCTGAAAGATGTCATTACTGTTTCTGTTAAACACCTATCATACATTTTGGTGCTCAAAATTAAGAAAGCAATAACGTGCTCACAGTATTTTAAATTTATAGCCCCCACACACTCTACTGAAACACATTTAATAAAAAATATTTTGCCAGTCCAGCTATACTACTAGTGTAGACTGGACATAACGTCACAAACTTTTTTTAAAGGGACGTTTCAACAGAATAGATGGGAACTTACATAACAAACAAGGTACGTCAAATTTCAACATGAATGAAATACACTTGTACATCTAATAACATTCCAAGGATATGCTTTTTAACCTAAGGCTCATGTAAAGACTAGTCAGTGTATTGGTTATGACTGAATTAGACATTTACTGTAGTGTTATTGCACCCCCTTCATGGGTAAATTAGACCTCCTATTTATCAGACAGGCCAGACATTTTCCATTACATTTTTTTCATATTTTGCAATTTAGAAAATGTATCCACCCAAAAGACTCTGAGCACAGATGCAGAAAGCTGCCTGGGTGTCCTTTTAAGCAAAAAATTCCTCTACTGTTGAAAAAGTTTGTCTTTGTTTAGTCAGAATGGGATGGTTGGTAGCACTCAGGAAGCAGGAGTGTCCTGACTCGAGTATCTGTTCTCCTTCTCATTGCTCATTTGAGTCACCTTTTACCCATGGAAAAGCTGCATTTAGGTCAATTTCAGCCCAATAATTTACTAACTTCCGGTTACTGGGCCAAGTTGTGCCCTAGGCCATACCCACACAATCCCACTGAAGACTGTGGGAGAGCTGATAAAAGTTACATCAGTGCTCAGGAAAGCTTTAGAGGAAGTTGAGGGTTTTTGACTGTGCATTTGATTAAAATTTGTGTTTTGCTACATGTAATGCACCTTTGATCTCATTTTCAGATGGACCAAACACCCACAGCTTCCACTGACTGCAGAGGGACCTGTGGGTGCTCAAAACCTTTATAGGTCTATTAGGCTCAGAACAGTCTAAACAAACATAAAGGAAGTATACAGCTTCATCAGCATTCCCGCCCCCTGCCATACATAAAGAGTCTGTCTTTCCTTACACTTCGATAACACCGTTATATGTAGTATAATTGTAGCCAGGTCAGTCCCAGGATATTAGAGAGGCAAGGTGGGTGAGGTAATATCTTGTATTGGACCAGCTTCTGTTGTTGAGACAAGTTTTTGAGCCACACAGAGCTCTTCTTCAGATGTGCGAAAGGAACTCCCAGCATCATGGTGAAAGGCAAGGTGGAACAGATTGTTTAGCACATAGATAGCACAAATGCACCATGAAACCAATAACATACCTCAATGATATTTTCAATCTCAGACAGGCAACCTAAAATCCCTTATAGATTTCCACTACAACTTCAACAACCATGATACATCCTTTAAACCAGTGGTTCTCAACAAGGGGTCCAAAGCCCCCTGGGGAGCCGCGAGCAGGTTTCAGGGAGGCCGCCAACCAGGGCCAGCATTAGACTCGCTGGGGCCCACGGTAGAAAGCCAAAGCCCCACTGCATGGGGCTGAAGTCTGGGTCCTGAGCCCCGCCACTTGGGGCCGAAGCCTGAGAAATATAGTTTCGCGGGGGCCCTGTGGCATGAGGCCCCAGGAAACTGCCCTGCTTGCTATACCCTAACACCAGCCCTGGCTTTTATATGCAGAAAACCAGTTACTGTGGTGCAGGTGGGCCGTGGAGTGTTTATAGCATGTTGAGGAGGCCTCAGAAAGAAAAAGGTTGAGACTCTCTGCTTTAAACTCTCTCTGGAACAATCCCACACTAGCATCAGCTTCCTGGACACCACAGTCAGCGTCAACCATGGAACCCTGCAGACAACCATATACAAGAAATACACGGATCACCACACCAACCTTCATAGAGCCAATAACCACCCCAAACACTCCAAGAAACCTGTTATCCGAGTGCCTGCCTATAGATAGCACAGAATCCAGGATATACACCTTAACACATTTAAAACCGTCTTCACCAAACAAGGATACTCCACCAGAGAAGTAAATTGCATCATGCAATGGGCCACCCAAATACCCTGAACGAATCTGCTTCAATACGGAAATAAAACCCCCTCTGACCCTACACCCCTTATTATTACCTATCACCACCCCACACTGGAACCCACACTGGGTATCATCAAACAACTACCACCCATATTCAACAGGGACCCCATCCTGAAAGAAATCTTTCCTGAACCCCCTCTTCTGGCCTTCAAACAACCCCCAGCCTCTCCAAGCTCATCACCAAAAGCAAGCTCCCCACAGACCAGGACACACCAATTCAAAGCAAACATGCAGACATAACACCCCCAACAACACATCTTTCAAGATCAATGGATCCTACACATGCCAATCACAACATGTGGTATACCTCATCCAGTGCACTCAATTCCCCAATAGCTATGTGGGTGAAACCAGACAATCACTACACTCTCAAATGAACTCACACAGGAAAATGATAAAAGACAAAATGATAAAAGACCCATCACCTGTGGGTGAACACTTTTCACAAAATGACCGATATCTGACTATCAGTCCTCACCCTTAACGGAAACCAACACAAGAGCCAGGGAGCTTAAATTTATTACTTTGCTAAACAAAAATCATGGACTGAACACAGACACTGGATTTATGTCTTATTTTACAACAATCTGCAACCCAGGAAACCCCTTTTTTTTTTTGGTCCCATGACTGCAGAGGTGTTAACAGACCTTTCTACCTTGAATGGTCCGTTACAATATGTTCTAATTACTCATGTTAACAATATGTTCCACTGTGCATTTTGCTGTGCCACTTTGAGTTCCTTTACCAGACCTAAAGAAGAGCTCTGTGTGGCTCAAAAGCTGGTCTCCCTCACCATAGAAATTGGTCCAATAAAATATATTCCCTCACCCACCTTGTCTCTCTAATACTGTTACAGTTTTTCATGCAAATAGAGTCTTGTTGACTTGAGTTACATAGGGACCAGTCTCCCAAAGCATCCAGCAACTACATCTATTGGCCCTTTACTTGCCCCCTTTTCCACAATCACACCTATACTGTGAACAACTAGAACAAAAATTGTTCTCGCAGCACAGGAAGAGCTAAATTCCAGACCTAGCATGATTTTTGCAGTTTGGGAGCACAATACAATCCCATCCACAAATGAAGTCTTCAAGACATCAGGGGCATGTAGTGCTGTTTCCAAGTGTCCCAACACAGTTGTTTTTATAACAGGTAGTCAACAGGCGGATTGCAGGCCAAACCCAGACCACCGGACACTGCAGAATGGACCCCAAAATCGATGTACTCATTTTTTTATTATTATTTTTTCTGGAGTCTGGACCTTGACAAAAAAATAACTGACTACCCAATTTTATAATATAGACAAGATCTAGTGCCCAACACATTGCCTTTCCGTAACCAGGCATTTCTCCAGCAGTGAGCTGCCAACAAGGGCATCTCCTCCATGCACATCCACTCAGCAGTGTTGCCAACTCTCAGGATTTTGTCATGAGTTTCATGATAATTATTGTTTTCCTTAAAGCCCCAGCTCCTGGAATCAAGTGGATATGTGATTATTTCAGCCTTCATTCTTAGAGGAAAAAGTAAGTGTCTAACCCTCGTGGCTGTGGAGAAAGCTTCAAAATGTGAGCCCAGGGCACCCTAAAGGCTCAAAATGCAGAAGGCAAATAAAAACACCAAATCTACTGTTTTTACATAAAAACATGAGGTTAAAATCAATCTCATGGTTTTTGATGAGAATGACGCATGAATTTTGAAGATTTGGGGTTGACAGTATAGGTTCTGTATCCCCAGCACCCACCAGCCTGCCCCCCACCCCCCTCAGTCTCCCTACCAGCCTCGCCACCAGCCTGCCCCGCCCCCACCAACCAGCCTCGCCACTAGCCTGCCCCCCCGGAACAGTCTCCCCCCGACCACCCTCTCCAGCCCCCACCGCTTCACCACTAACCTGCCCCCCGCCCTACTCACAGCCTCGCCCCTAGCCTGCCCCACCCAGCCCCCCCACTAACCTCACCACTAACCCCCCCCGCCCTACTCACAGCCTCGCCCCTAGCCTGCCCCACCCAGCCTACCCCCCCGCACCAGCCTGCCCCTCACAACCTCACCACTAACCTGCCCCCCGCCCTACTCACAGCCTCGCCCCTAGCCTGCCCCACCCAGCCTGCCCCTCACAACCTCACCACTAACCTGCCCCCCGCCCAGCCCCGCTCCCAGCCGCCTCCTCAGCCGGCCCCCCGCGCTGGCGGCTGCGGGGCTCTTACCTTCCCCAGCGCGGGCCCCGTCGCAGCCCCCAGGAGGCGGCCCCACAACAACAAACCCGCCCGCCGAGACGGCGGCTAGAGCGGCCACCCCCACCCCGGAGCACGCCGGGAACTGGGGGGTCCTCCTGTGGAGGCTCGGCTCTTAAAGGGCCAGGCCCTGGCCCAAAGGCTTCCAGCTCGGCCCGCGTGGGACACCCCCCGGCCGCAGATCCCCCGAGCCCCCGGCCCGGCCGCGCCTCCCGGGCCGGATCGCTTCGGGCAGCTCCCTCAGCCACGGGACGACGACGCCGGTCGCACCTGGCCGGGGGCAGCCCTCGCCCAGCCCCCTCTGTCTCGGCCCCGTCCTAACTCCCCCACCGCCCGTGCCCCTGGGGCCTCCCCCTGACACAACCCCTGGGAGCCTCTCTCGCAAGGACAGCACATTCCCACGGCAGGCCGTCCCTTCCCACTCAGCCCGCATGGAGTCCACGGGTCCCCTCCCTGTCCTACAATACCGTTCAAAAGGGGAGAACCCGGTACATACCTAGGGCACTTCCCTGCAAATGAGCAGCCGGTAGGGTAAGCATTTGTCCCAGTCCTGGGGATGCTGATCCCTAGAAGTCCTCAGTGTCCTTTTCGGGGTCCCATTAAGTCTGGCCATCAGCTCATTGGACTGAGGGTGATGGAGTCAGGTGCCTAAATACCTGTGAGGGCTGGAGCCAGACTTCTTAAGGGGTGACTTTTTCCATGCTCGGTCTCAGCCCAGAGGTGAATTATTCAGGAAAGTTTTCAGCAAAAGGGGTTCAATTATTATTGGAGTTACATATGCCTGAAAATACTCACGCTTCAGCATTAGTGGTGTGCTCCATCAGACGTTCTGGGCATGGATAAATCAAACATCGTTGAAGGTAGAAACGTCACATGCGACTTGGTCCGTAGAGCAAAATGAGATCCGAGGAATAAGCGTGATTTGAATGAAAGTGAATCTAATTTTTAAAAATGTGTCTATTTAAAAAGGTAAATTTCATACACACCAGATACAATTTTGCATTCAGGACTATTGGGGGAAGGGGGGGGTGTTAGTCTAAAATTCTAGCAATTCTCATGCTTAAATGATATTATTTTACTGTATTACTTTACCACATAGGAGGCCTAGTCGTGGATCGGGACCCCATTGTGCGAGGTGCTCTGCAGATAGCTTTAGGAGAGAAAGCTCCCAAAGAAGTCAAGCAGGCTTACTGAGTCAAGCCACAAACCCCAAAATTGTTGTGGCATTTACTATGGTCAGGCCATTTAAAATCGGAGAAAAATGGCATAGGAAATATCTAGCACCATGATCAGCAGCTGATGCTCCCATATTTTGTAGCTGTGGAAGAAAAATTAACAAAGAGTGGCTGAACAGCATAATCAAAATCCATCCAACAGCTAAGATTAAAAGCTGAACTGATTGCTTTATCTTATTACTGACAAGCACATTATGTTATTGATAGAAAAAGATCAAGCCATACGATCATGGACTATGTCCTTAATCTTCATAAACTAATCAGAGTAAGATTGGACCAGTGCTTGAAGGGGACAGATCAAAAGAAAGGTGTTCAAGGAAACTGGTAGGATTTCAGCAAGTAGTACTTTTCCCCTGAGAGTCAACACTGAACCAGTTGCAGATCATAGTGGTAAGGGCACTCGTGGGATGTGTAAAATTGAGTGCGTGATCATTCGGCGTAATTAAAGATTCCAAGGCAATTTTTTGCTAGAGCTTTGTTGTTTGCTCTGATATACTGTACAGTTTCCAATTTCTGAGGAGAGCCTGGTTATAAGATTGTTTTAACCATGTCAGAGGAACAAATTGACTCTTCTAATGCAGACACAACTTTATCCTATTTTAAGCATATCCCTGAATCAGATTAGAACTAGAGCTATGTAAATAATGATTTCTTTTGTTTGTTTAAAAAAAACGGTTTGGGTCAACTTGAAAACAATGTTTTTCAGAATTTTTGGCAAATTGAAAAAATTTTAAATGTCATTTTGGGTCTCAAACATTTGGTCGTTTTTGAGTGGGTTTTTTTTTACATTTTTATGATTTTTTTTTAAATGGAAGGAAAATCCAAAACAAAAAGTGGTTTTGACCCAAAAAATCCAAACATTGTTTTAAAAATGTCAAAATGACATGTTTTGATTTGTAGGGGGGGAAAATGAGCTGAACAATTCAGTGAAGTGGACACAAGTTCATGAAGCATTTTGGAGTTGCCAAACTTCCTTTTTTGCCCCCAAAAACGTTTTGGATGAAAAACTTCCCCCAGTTCTAATTAGAACTTTGTGTGGGTCAGCAGGTCCAGAGGGACACTTTAGAAAGTTTCCCCCAAGGGTCTCTAGGGCAATGACAGGGATGTGGTGGCTAATGCCCCCAACTGGAGCATGTCCTACTTCAATCCTGTATCAGGCCCAGGGGGACCAGAGAAGCAGAGGCCAATGAGGTCTTTGATAGAAGACCTGTCAGCATCAGAAAAGTGTCTAGACCTGGACTCAAAGACAAAGGCAAAACATTCTGGCCATAGCACATTCTTCCCTTCTTGGGGCAGGAAGTCGGCAAGGCAGTTGGAACGCAGACCCAAAGTGCTACAGCAGTGGCTCTCAAACTTTTTTACTGGTGACCCCTTTCACACAGCAAGCCTCTGAGTGCGACCCCCTTATGAATTAAAAACACTTTTAATATATTTAACACCATTATAAATGCTGAGTGCACAGCAGGGTTTGGGGTGGAGGCTGACAGCTTGTGACCCCCCCCCCACCATGTAATAACCTCATGACCCTCTGAGGGTCCCAACTCCCAGTTTGAGAACCCCTGTGGTACAGGCTGCATCAGGTAAACTCTTCATGCAGCAATTCATCATGGGTGTCAAATACAAAAAAACACTGAAGATAACAAAACAAACCCTTTTAGATGGGGCTTTAGTGACTTTTTGGCTTATAAAAATTGCCTCCTTCCATCCATTAGTGCTGCTTAAATGAGACCATTTAAAGACCAAATTCAATAACCTCTACATGTAAACATAATAGGGTGAAAAATAATGTGGCTTTATTCCCTGACTGATCATGACAATGTAAAATATTAGAAATAACTGTACTTTCTGATCTTGTCCACTGACTTTAAGAGTCCCTACTCAAGTCAGTTCTTTCTCAGGCAAATCCTGAGAACGATTGGGACACTCACTTTCATGAAGGCTGAATTTTGCCCAAAGTGTTTCCAAGTCTGTGTTCATCTATTGCATTGGAAATCATCGATAATGTAGATTATTTGCAGGGCTCAGGTAGTCTTCTTCAGTGCACTACAGTAGCCTTTAACGTGAAGGGGTACTTGTGGCACCAGGAAAAATATTTTGGATGTTTTTTGAAATATTTTTAAAAAAAAAAAATAAACCCCCCCCCCCCCCCCTTTTTTTAAATTATTTTTATGGGGTATGAAATTTAACGTGAATGTTTCCCAATCTGCCAACATCAAACAGAAATAAACAGAGACATTTATAATATGTTGTATATATTTTATTCCATCATAGATGTTAGTTAGGAATCTGACAGTACCCTAAAAAGCAAGACTCAACAGCAGACACAAGTGTTGATGATATAATAGGTAGCAGCAGTCCCTGCTCTGAGTCCATACTGAAGCAATGCCCCAGGGAGATGTTAGAGGGTGCAGTGCTACTGGAAATGGCATGTGTTTAGAAGAAACTTTAAAACTAATGTCCTGATCACTTGTGGTCACTGAAGATCACACAGCACTTTATTCCAAAAGAGGGGTAAACTGTGACTGTTTTAACTGGCTATTGCATTCCTCAATTTCAATTTTAAGCTGTGCGTACCTTTTGCTGTGCTCTATTATGAGTAACTGCATTTCACTAGTGGGTAAGAGTAATTTCTACATAAATTGAACCACATCTTGAGAAGGGCTGTGTCCCCACCCCTGCCATCAAGATCAATGAAAATTGACGATTAAAAGGAGGATATTAATATAATAGGCATCATGAAAACTTGGTGGAATAAAGATAATCAATGGGGCACAGTAATACCAGGGTACAAAATATATAGGAATGACAGAAGGTTGTGCTGGTGGAGGAGTGGCATAAAGAAAGCATAGAATCAAATAAAGTAAAAATCTTAAATGAATCAAACTTTACCATAGAGTCTCTATGGATAGAAATTCCATCCTTGAACAATAAGAGTATAGCAGTAGGAATATACTACTGACCACCTGACTGATGGTGGTTGTGAAATCCTCAGGGAGATATGAGAGGCTACAAAAGCGGACAATGCAATAATAATGGGGGATTTCAACTATCCTCATATTGAGTGGGCACATGTCACCTCAGAAGGGATTCAGAGATATAATTTCTAGACACCAGTAATGACTGCTTCTTTGAGAAGCTAGTCCTGGAGCCCACAAGGGGAGAGGCAATTTTTTATTTAGTCCTAAGTGGAACACAGGATTTGGTCCAAGAGGTGAATATAGCTGAACCACTTGGTAATAGTGACCATCATTAAATTAAATGTCCTTGGTAGGGAAGAATACGAAAGTAACCCAACACAGTAGCATTTATCTTCTAAAAAGGGGAACTACACAAAAATGAGGAAGCTAGTTAAACAGAAATTAAAAGGAACAGTCACAAGAGTAAAATGCCTGCAAGCTGCATGGAAACTATTAAAAAACATCAAAATAGAAGTTCAAACTAAAATGTATATTCCAAATTAAAAAAAAAAAAAAAAAAGCAGAGGACCAAAAAAAAATACCATAGCTAAACAGAGTAAAAGGTGATTAGAGGCAAAAAGTCAAATCCAAGAGAGGAAAATAGGAGCATAAATTCTGGCAAGTCAAGTGTAAAAGTATAAGGGAGGCCAAGAAAGAATTTGAAGAGCAACTACCCAGAGACACACCAAAGGAAAAAAAAAAAAACACCACAGCAAAAAATGTTTTAAGTACATCAGAAGCAGGATGCCTGCCAAACAATCAGTGGAGCCATTGGACTACATTGGCCACTTAGGTGCTAAAGGAGCACTCAAGGAAGACAAAGGTATTGTGAAAAAAAACCTAAAATGAATTATTTGCATTGGTCTTCTCCCCCACATCTGCTGCAGTGATCTCCATATTCAAGCCATTCATTTTAGGTAACAAACCTGAGGAACTGCCCCAAATTGACTTGAGGTGTCAGTAGAGGAGGTTCTGGATAAAACTGATTAAACAAACAGTAATAAGTCACCAGGACCAGAGGGTATTCACCCAAGAGTTCTGAAGGAACTCAAATTACATTGCAGAATTATGAGCGGTCATATGTAATCTATTGCTTAAATTAGCCTTTGTAACAGATGACTGGAGGGTAGCTAATGTAATGCTGATTTAAAAAAAAAAAAATACTCCAGAGGCAATCCTGGCAATTACAGCCTGGTAAACCTAACTTCAGACCCAGGCAAATTGGTTGAAACTATAGTAAAGGGGAAAAAAAAAACAACCCACACACAATGAGGAGTTGTTGTGGCACCTTAGAGACTAACAAATTTGGTCATAAGCTTTTGTGGGCTATAACCCACTTCATCAGATTCGTGGAGTGGAAAAAAAAAGTAGGTAGGTATAAATATACAGCACATGAAAAGATGGGAGTTGCCTTACCATGCGGGGTGGTCAGTGGTAACAAGGCCAATTCAATCATGGTGGATGTAGCCCATTCCCAACAGTTGACAAGAAGGTTGAGTATCAGAGGGAAAAATTT